CAATATGAGTTATCATGAGACGAGGAGCACCAGGTTCATTGGTCATTGCTGGTGGTGGGGGAGGAGAGATGCTACTCAAAATCTCTTCTAAACTTCGATTATCAACTACCTCATTTGAGGCTTCTAAAAGACATCAAAAAAAAAACAGAAACAAAAAGCCAACTGTAAGTTTTCAATTGCTAGCCACCTTTTAAGATGTTTAATTCAAAAGATAACATTATTTCTACACGAATCAAATACATACTTTTGTTCAAAATTATTAAAATGAACAAAGTGAAGTTAGCAATCTTCTTGTCATGAGTTGAATCTTTCAGTAGTAGATACTTAAAGATGCCCCATCGATTCACTACTGGGTTTGTTCTTTCATTATGCAATTCTTATTCTAACACTCTTTAATAGGCACTCTGCAATTACAATAGCTACAACCGTCACAATAAGCCTACAAATCTGAAACAGGCAAAGTCTTTTTAATTAATAAGTGCAAAGCCACATTTCAAGCGTGCTCACAAGTCACTGCAAGATCTGGGGATCGCTGCACAATGCTCTGAAAGCTGTAATGACAGCACAACTACTCTGCAAAGACAGGAAGTTTGTTACGAAAACAAACTGGCCCCCTGGATATCAGCTAGTTATAAGCAAAGCAGCTTTTCAGCAGTTACTAGCAACTCTTTCTTCAAATAGACAGTAGCTTGTCACCAATTTCAACATATTAATCCATTTGTCAAACACCTTGCATTAATAATTGCATATCTGGCTATCTAAAAATACACTAACTTCAGCCTTCCCAGACAACTCCAGAAAAAAACTCAACTCAAAAAGGAAAAAAACATACACTGCTTTATGAAAAAGAAAGTCAAATCATTTTAAGAGTTAAGTAAATAAACTTGAAATTTATTCCATTCCAAGAAATCCCATACCGTTGGCTGTGCATAGATTCGAAAAATCCTTCTGTTGTACCAAAATCTTAAGTACAGTGTTACAGATCAGGAATATGAAATATAAGATTTATTAGAAGAAAGTCTACCAACTGCTTTTGCACTTGTACTAAAGCACTGGTCCAAACACTTTAACTCTTTGCAAGCCCTCCTTACCATTTTAAAAACAATTTAAACCTGCCAAGAGCCAAGGCTTTCAATATCCCTTTCTAGAACAGAAAGGGCAGGGTATTTGGAACAGCTTGCAAATTCAACACAACGCCATTAATCCAGAGGCCCTAGTATCACGTTCGCATGCCACCAGAATCATAAGACACAAACCTACCTTGTGGAGGTACTTCAGCACTCTGTCTGTCACCACCCTTGTCCACATCCATGTCACTGGTGGAGTCCTCTAAGGGCTTTCCGCCTTTCATCTGGGCTGCTGTAGAGGTTTTGGTGCTCTTGCTTGGCATGATTTCTGTTGGCTGTTCCCCTTCAACTCCAAGCAATCAAACTAGTGAAGGGATCTATCTCCTTTGCTAACACAAACAAGAAAACCCCGTGATCTAAGTATCGAGCTGCAATCCCCTGAGGAAAATACCTACATGAACATCCAGATGTTTGACTGATTTTGAAACCAAAGTCAAGATGTATTTTGAAGACAAAACTTTGAGTTTGGAACAAAACTAAAGCTTAGCCTCACAACAATAGATTTGAGACCATTCCCCCCAAACCGACAGACCTACCCTAATCTGTAGAAACAGCATGAATCTACCTACTGAAAATTCATACAACCATACTCAATGCCATTACTTCAATCAGAGAAAGCAACTGTGATGCTGGGGGCAAAAGAGTTAAAGACATATTTGCAGTAACAAACTGAGTAGCCATATGGCTCTGGAAGCATGCTTTACACACACCTTTCAAACCTGACACACATTTTACTTTTAACACTCCACATCGATTATTAAGAAAAAAAAAAGCATAATTCAAGTAAAGTCTCAACTCTGAAGCAGTTTGGATCAATACCTTCACTTTGCAAAATATAACACAACCACTACTGTTAGCATTCAACATTTAACAGAGTAAGTGAAACAAAATACCTTAATCTAGTTCTGATGTTAAAGTTATCTGATCAAGAACAAAACATTATAAAAGTCCATCAGCTGACACTTAAACACAGCAACCCCCCCCCCAAAAAAAAATATATAAATATAAAGCAAACCATGATGAGAAAAGGCAAAGCAAGTCAACTGCAGGAGGGAAACTCTCCTCAAAGAGCTGAAAGTGCAGCAAGTGGCGAATTCAGTTTGGAGAAAAACAGACATGAGAAAGTTTACTTCTCACAAGATAAAAAAACTGACGTGGTTAGAAAGTCATCTTACAATTGGTGCCAATCATTTGACGTTTTCAGACCTACCCCCAACCCACACTCTCATGAGAGTCCTTCATTTGGGACAATGGGGGAGGGGGGAAATGTGAGAGAGAACTCGTTTTAAGGCAATTTCAGCCTATGTCCCGGTTAAGAAGTGTTCCACAATGGCTGTCTCGGACAATTACAGTCTCTCAAAGCACCAGATTTCTTTTTTTTTTTTTTTTCTTCCCCCTCCGCAAAGCTTCTCTACTCAGAGTTGTGCAATATAGACCTATTTACCTTACCAACCCCTTTCCAAAACGAACAAGCAGAGCTACTTGACCTCAGCTTTGAAAGCGGGAGAGATCAGTTGGCTACAGACTCTGCTCAACTTAACGTATTCGTGTCCAGCCCTTGCTCCGAGGCAGCTCGGAGGTGTTCGCTAAAAGCATCTCTCAATGATCTCCTGCCAAGCGCCGTTTCTGTCGAGGGCTCGGGGGAAAGCGAGCCGGGCAGAAGGGCTCCCTTATTAAAAGCTGTTCAGACGTGATAGCGACAGCCGATGTCAGTGAACTACCGTAGGTTTTTTTTTTTTTCTTTTTTTTTTTAAGTCAATTCTTATGAAACCGTCATTCTAAGTGACCCTACAGCAACTTTGCGGCGATCTAAAAAAGCTTTTTTCAAGACTTTCTTGGGCTTTCGCTTGCCCGCTGCCAGCATAAAGGGAGGAGGCAAAGTTAGTTAAGCAGAATCCTTGCGTCGTAAACAGATTAAAACCGGGCCCCCGTTATTTCGGGTGCATGGGAAAACATATTGGGGAAGTAAAACGCATTATTTGCCCTCCGGAGGTCGGTTTTGCGGCGATCTAAAAAAGCTTTTTTCAAGACTTTCTTGGGCTTTCGCTTGCCCGCTGCCAGCATAAAGGGAGGAGGCAAAGTTAGTTAAGCAGAATCCTTGCGTCGTAAACAGATTAAAACCGGGCCCCCGTTATTTCGGGTGCATGGGAAAACATATTGGGGAAGTAAAACGCATTATTTGCCCTCCGGAGGTCGGTCCACCCGTAGGTGCTAGAAGGGACGAGGGAAGAGCCGCTCTCCGCTCCCTTCCCCGCCGCTGCTCGCACGTATCCGCCGACACCCGCGGGGCCGGGAGCTGCGGCCCG